CCCTTGTGGGTGGAATTTCGTAAAATCCGTTTCTAGCTGACCTCTACTCAGCAAAAAGAATATTCCTACTAAATTTCAAGTCTCTAGGTCTTATAGTTCCAGAGATATCGTGATGAGTGACTATACACTGATAAAAAAATTGACTTGACTCAAGATCCAAACTCTTGAACCAAGAATACCATTTTGAAGAAAATGATTTTCTTGAGTCAAGAGAATAAATTTTTGAAACAAGAAAATTTTCTTAGACCACGAATAATTTCTTAGCTCAACAATTTCTTCTCTTGACTCAAGAAAATCATTTTCTTCAATATGGAATTCTTGGCTCAAGAGTTTGGCTCTTGAGTCAAGTCAATTTTTTGATCAGTGTATTTATAGAAAGTCTCCTATGTATATAGAAGATTTCATTTTGGTACTCCAACTTTATAGTTAACTATATTTAAATCTATAACGCTAGTAAATACTTTCGTTTCCTTAAGTTTCAACTTATCGCATATAGCAGATTCTTATCAAATTTAGAGCTTATAGGAGCTACAGCTCGGAAATTTTAAATTTTTATTGTTAAGACCCACCCCCGCAACCCCCTGTAGGGTAGGAGATCGTAAAATTCGTTCATTAATTATTGTTACATCACTTACAGAAAATTCATACAAAATTATTATTCATTGTTAATGACCATCCCTGTAATCCATATTGGGAGTAGATTGTCATAAAATCCGCTCTTAGATCATTTCTACATCACATATAGGAGATTCTTACCAAATTTGGAGTCGATAGGAGGTATAGTTTAAAAATGGGAATTTTTTATTGTCAACGCTCCCGCAACCCCCCTTGTGGGTGGAATTTCGTAAAATCCGTTCTTAAGTGACTTCTATTCAGCGAAAGGAATATTCCTACCAAATTTCAAGTCTCTACACCTTATGGTTCCTGAGATATCGTGATAAGTGAATAAGTAGGTAGATATCTCTTATATATGTATACACTGTTAAAAATTTCTATTGTAATTTTACAAGAAATGTATTGGAAGCTAATAGGCAAAACATTTGTTTAAAATTACAATCGGGTATAGTAAAATTACAAAACATATATAGCTCAGTGACGTTAATAATTTTACAAAACGGTTTTGTAATTTTACAAATATTTTTAGATTAGCTAAGTTTGTAAAATTACAATACTTTCCTTGAATTTTACTTGAATTGAAATAATAAAAAAGAAAGATTTGATTTAATATCTGTTGTCATTTTATTGTTATGAAGCGCTGACTAGATTTGGTATCTAACGTAAACCTAATTTGTTCAACTCAGATGATTTAAAGTGAAAATAATATATACCCTAACTAAGAACCGAACCCGAGCCGCGCGCTTGCCAGACCGATACCTAACGCCCTACGCCGTACGATCGATAGGTGATTCAACATCTTATTATTCTTATAAGCTAATCCTATGTGGTGATTGAGCATTACGGCTTATTATTTATAATTTACATTAATTGTGTTATTTTATGCGGTTTATTGATGGAAAAGTCTAACATATACTCATTCAAATATATTGATTTCAAAATGATCGTTTGAGCATAATATTAAAATTTATAAAAGATAAATTATGCCTCGAATTTATTATTACAAATAAACAACCATAGACTAAAAATTAGTAAAAATAAATATAAAGGACATTGTTGTTTTTTTATACATCAGTCTCATTTTTGTAAAATTGAAAAGTATTATTTTTAAAATTAGAAAACAGTGAAATAGAATTACAATTCGTGTAATATAAATAAAATTTTCTGGTAACATTACATTGTACTGTGTAATTTTACAATGAAAATTGTAAAAATAAAAAAAAGCTTTTTAAATTTTTTATGTGATTATTGTAATATAAATTACAATATTTTTTAATGATTTTACATATAATTATGCCGAATCAAATTACAAATAATGTTTGCAAAATTAAAAAGCAACGAACAAAATTTAGAATATTACTCGAAATTTCATTTCAAACTTTCTAACAATAGTCAAGTATTAAGCTATTGAATATATAATTGAGAAATAATAATTACGAAAACCAATTAATAAAACGATTGTTTTTAGAATTTTATGAACATTTTCAAATAAATTCACACAAAATAAACTGTTGGTTGGATTACATCTTGTATAGTTAAATTTACTATACGTGTAATATCTCTTTTCAAAGTTTTGAGAACTTTTATATATAACGTACGTACGAGTTTGTACGTGTGGCTAATTGAACGATATGTGCTGTCGTCTTCCTATTATTTTTCTTCCATTTTCGAATAGCCACTATAGTTCAACCAGAAATTTCAATCCAAATTTTTTTATAATTTATTTTTATCTTACTAAAATCTGAACGCCTGAAAAAGTTATAAAGAATTTTCACAAGAAACTCTTTTGTATTTACAACCGTTATCTATTTTAGTTTGATAATTCAAAAAATTAATTAAAAAAATTTTGAATTCCATTGCAAGATTTTTGAATTTTGACTAATTAAAAATTATTCTGATTATTTATTACAACTAGGTCGAATTTTAGAAAAATAATATGCTAATACATCTTTGAGGAAAGCCAAGATAACTTAGTGTGTAACACAAATTTCCTAACTTTTATAAGCAATTTTTTTCCTCTATAGGTCACAGTTACGTTGATGATTAACCGCATATAACAAATTTATTACATGATTCTCTTTTTTTCTCTTTTTCTATTACATTTCTGTATGACACGTACTTACATTAAGTTATAGATATATGTTTACCCACAAATATAAATAAGACATACACTCAACCGTAGACGATTGTAATTATACGATTAATTAGAATAAACACAGAACTATGACGACGCCGCCGGCAGTATTGACAGTGATTCACTTAGGTCTACTACCCACCACTACTATATTTCAAAAAGTAATGCCGCTAGACCCAGTAAACTGCAGATGAACAAATGAATGAACCTGTTCACTATACACTATACATATGTACATGCATTTGTCTTCGTCACATGTGCTTGAGATTACTGTGAAGCCATTACGTTGAGATTACTGTGAAGCCATTACGCGAATGACAGCTAACACTACTAAAAAGTATATTATGATTTTTGCCACCAAACGTATACATAACACATACTTGCATTAAACGCTAAAGGTTCAAGCACACTTTGCCGATAGCAAAGTTCTTATAAGTATTAAGTACAATAAATATATTACATTATTACGAATGCCGCATGTATTAGTGCCATGAACCTGAGGCAGTGATCAGTGCAAAGAACATTATAACAATGATTTAATGTCATTACTTGGTTTAAAAAAAAAGTATTTACCACCAAAAGAATTTTTCTTTCCATAGAAATTAATAATTATTGAGAAAATATTTATGAAATCTTATTTTAATAATTAATCGGTTAATTTTTCCGATAAAATTATATTTACTTGAATAAAAATTTTCAACGGTTCACAAAAAAAAACTAACCAATGAAACATTCATGATAACAATTATCAATGTAAAATCTAAAACTCTGGAATATTGGTTATCGACAAGTAATTTTTATTAAATCTCTTCTATAATGCTTACAAGAGTAGTTTTTTGTTTTATATTTTCAACCGTTTTGTGTGCTTTAGTTTTAAGAATGTAAGCGACAAAAAATTGAAATTTATTAATATAGTTTCAAAATTCTTGGAGTATATTTGATTTTTTATATCGTGAATTATAATGACGTCGATTTTTCCTGCAATAATTTTGTAATTGATTTTTATATATTTCTGGATAAGGTCTTAAGCGTATAAGAAAAATTTGATATAACAATTTAATTTCCTTTCTGCTTGTAAATTACTGTGACGTCAATGTCATGGAGAAATAATTGCATAATCTTTTGTGGAATCTTCTAAGCAGTATATTAATTAAACTAAATACGTCTAAATCTTGTATATTTTGTATTTTTTTAATTCGCGCATCTGAATAAATTTGAATTCATTATTATGGATAGATTAATTACATTTCGAATTTTATAAAATCAGTTTTTATAGACTTTAGATTATTATTCAATTATTATAAGATTATTATTTAATTTCGACATTTCTTTATAGTATTAAATATGGCTACATATATAAATATAAATTTCGTTTTTCTTTATTAAATAATAAATATGAAGCAACCCTCATATAATGAGAGACATATGATAATCACATGTATGATAAATGACATATGTATTTTATTATAGATCTTATGTATTACATGAGTGTAAGCATGTATATATTAATCTCCATAGCATCCCTGTGGTATCAAAATAACAAAGTGCTTATTATTATTAGATTATATCATACACGGTTCTGAAATCATTTCTACTTCACAACAATTTAATTTATCGGATATTAAACATTCATCAATATGATGAACAGTAACATTACCTGACGAGTAAAAATATTTCTTCAACAATACAACTTCTATATAAAAGACGTAAATTTTTTCTTCACCACTAATGGAATCAAAATAACAAATGTTTTGAATTATTCCGACTTTGCCATTTTTGAATAATACAATATAATCATTTTTTTTTTTGCAAAAACGATACATTTTAGATGTATATCGTGTACCTTTGTAAATAAATCTATCATAACACTTGCATCGATCAGATCTATTTAAAATTTCTCGCTCTTGGGAACTTAAAACATGATTTTTACCTTTCCCAATCAAGACACAATTATCAACTTTGAATGAATTTTTTAAGCGTCCTGTAAGGTTTTTTTCACAAAACTTATGAAAATCTTCGCTTAAGTTAATGTTATTCTTAAATGACAGCAGCGATTTTTGAAATAAATATCGTCTTGCTATTTGAACACTGATATGATTAGGACTCTTTTGCAGTTTTAACAAAAAATGATTTTCACTCTCGAAAATGAAAGTATTATGACATTTTAACGGACCTAAATTTAAAACACTTCGAGCCATATGTAGAAGCAAATGTATATTATACGTCATGGCTTTTTTACCAAAATATTCTTGATATAATGCAACATATTTTATAATTAAAGTTTCAGCTATTTGTAGATCATTAATCTCAATTTTTCCAGACAAAAGTATGCGAACTGCTTCAACCAATAAAGCTAAATGATCCAAATATTTTTGAGGAAGAATTTCTCTTAAGCATATCAAAGAATAAAATAAAAGCCATGATCGCCATTCCGTAGCTTTCCACATATCTCTTTCGGATAATGGCCTTGGTGAACGTGTTATACAACTAGGATGTTTAAAATCCAAAAGTTGAGTATTAATTACTTCGAGTTGGTTAGGATTACCAACATAGTATTCTTCACCGAATGATGATAGCAATATTTCAGTATGCTGCTTTATTACACCTAGTAAGATTGCATGCATATAATCTGGTGACATTCCATCCACTAAATCAAAATATTTTAAATTCATCAATGGTGATGGCCCCCATACACCTATTATATCTTTACCATATTTACTCTCGCCTGCTTTTACCATACAAGATTTTATAGATTCATCTGTACGAAGCTTCGGAACATAAGTAGATATCGGGAATTTTCGATTATTGTCAACTCGCTCCGTCTGATGCTCGCAAAATGTACAGCCATAAGTCCCATTGTATTGCTTCATATTCAATATTTTACATCTTGCAACGGAGTCTGTCACAGCACATAGTGGAATAAACTTACTGTTTATTAATTGATCTCCTAATTTCCATTCCACACCCTCATCCGATAACTTATTTGCTTGATCAACGAAGGGTTGTAAAAAAATCATCATATCTGGTTCTTTTTTACTTACCCATAAGCCTGTCATGATCATATGCTCTGATTGCAATTTCGAAGGTAACTCATTAATGCACGCAAATATCGGCCAAATTGAAAGTTTGCTTGACCTAGAAGGCTGACATCCATCGGTGTTAAACGTATATGTAAAATTATATTTTTCTGAGAGGGGATTATTCGGCATCGATAATTTCTTATATAACTTCCCATCGCTCATACTTTGTAAGCCATTTTCATATTTATTGTTTGTATTGCTAACAACTCGTTCTATTAAAATTTGCTGGACTTCTGCATTTTTTCTCGGGAACTAATATAGGAAGGAAGGAAGGGGAGGGGGGTGTCCACGAAATTTCAAAGAAAACAAAATGGCTGACTTCCACGAAATGGCTTACTTCAACGAATAAACAAAATGGCAGCCTTCCACGAATAATCAAAATGACCGCCTTCCACAAAAAACAAAATGGCTGACTTCCACAAAAAACAAAATGGCTACTTCCACAAAAAACAAAATGGCTGACTTCCACGAAATGCCCGCCTTCCAAGAAATGACCAACATCCACGAAAAAATGTCCAACTTCCGCGAAAATGCCCCACATCCACGAAATGGCCGACTTTCCGAGAAAAATCTTCACCATCGGTCGGTAAAACCGATCCCGATATGGCCGATAGTCGAGACAAAAACCATCGACCATATTTACCCTCGGTCGGTAACTCCTGCTCCGATGGTAACCGGTCCTGGAATCCCCCTTATATCACTACTCCGAGAAATTGTGTACTTGCTGGAGCAAGTGGCACACATACAATCTGTGTGTGTGTTATTCATCAAAATATTAAATTGATGATGCTTGGTAATTAATCATTTATTGTTGATTGATTGTTGAGTAACCGTGAAACATTTGAAAAAATATTCTTTTTTGCAGGTGCTAACTTGAGCGCACTCACAAAAGATTTGGATAGTTCACTGACTCATTATGACAACTGTCTAAACCTTTTAATTTGTGAATCTCCATCTCCTGATTGTTATTTTACTAAGTGTACTAGCTGCCCAGGTACTGAAATACTTAGTGACTTATTGACCAATATATTTGATCAGCACAATATTGAAACTATTACCTACAAATTTTGGAATTTAACGCCGCGCTGTATGCTTGCAACGATATTAAAGTCGTCAGACGAGTTCGTCGAACAATTTTGCGATAACCTAAAGGTTCTTTTACCTCATGCTTACATCGCTAAGCAACAGACCAGTTATTTAAAATCTTTAAAGCATAATTTGAAAGAAGACGAATTTTTGATTGTCTGTGATTTTGCAGAGAATTACGCTTTTGTGATACAAAATGCTGCATCCGGTTTCCACTGGAACAATAACATGGCTACAGTTTTTCCAGTAGTAATTTATTTCAAAAATAACAATGAGATATGCTACAGAAGCTTAGTCATTGTATCAGATTGCAATAATCATGATGCTGTGGCAGTTAACGTTTTTTTGAAAATAGTAACAAGTTATGTAAAAACTATTTCGGAAAATGTGAGAAAAATTTATTACTTTTCCGACGGTGCACCTCAACAGTTTAAAAATTTCAAAAATTTTGTGAACTTGTATTATCACGAAGAGGATTTTGAAATTTTAGCTGAATGGCACTTTTTTGCTACTGCGCACGGAAAAGGGCCATGTGATGGAATTGGTGGAACATTTAAGAGAATGGCCGCACGTGCCAGTCTCCAATTGCCTGTGGATCGCCAAATAACAACTCCATTTGAACTTTTCACATGGGCAACTCAGCCAAATAACTTGCCAAATATTACGATTAAATTTTCACCCTCAGATGATTATACTGTTGCAAATGAAAATTTGGCGACTCGATTTGCAAAAACAAAATCCATCGTAGGAACTCAAAAAGTTCATTGTGTTATACCTGACAATAATGGTTGTCTCTTAGTTAAAGATTATTCAAGCTCTACAGAATCTAAACTCTGTAAAATATTAAAACGTTCAAGAAAATAAATTTCTCTATGAGTTTAAAAATTGTTGCATTTGAGACATTATAATCATATATTAATTAATGTTTATTTCAATGCCTACCATTTATTAAGCAATAAATAAAAAAACAATTATTTTTCAATTTTCCTTGTTTTTAAAAAAAATTATTTTTCTCGATGATTAACATGTTCAACTTTTGGTTCTATACTTTTTTCTTGTTTTTTGAGGGTTCCCGGAAATTTTTGGACCGGTGTTATGAAAAATAAGATTAAAAAAAAAAAAATTTTTTTTTGAATTGAAAAAAAAATAGAAATCGAAAAAACACCCTTCTGAAAATTTCAGGATATTTGTAGAAAATGTCAAAGTTTTATATGAAAAAAAGAAAAAAGAAATTAAAAATGGTATTCATCAAGAAATTCGGAGTTTTTCGGAAAATTTTAAAAATAACGATGAAGATAGGTTCGAATAATTATTTTATATTTTTTTCCAAAAAGAACATTTAATAACAAAAGTTTTGAAAAAAAAAAACATCCCGATAAGTCAATTTTTGAAAAAGTTATGGCAATTTAAAAATAAAAAAGCGGTTTTTTTGAAAAATTCATAACTTTTTTTTGGTTGGGTAAAAAAATTTGAAAATATTATGAGAGACGTTTTTGATAGGGTAGAAAAAGATGGTAAACTTTCAGCCAAATCAAAAAGGGTCAGGGTCAAAAGTGGTCGATTTGGTGTGGAATGCCCCATATATATAAATAAATTTGAAACACATTATTGAAATTACATATGAATATAAAAAATAGATGATGCGCTGAATATTGACTGCGAAAAAGATAGTTGTCGGGAAGAAAAAGAAGTTGGAGAAAAGGAAGTTGCGGAAAAGAAAATTGCAGAAACAGCACTGACGGAAAATGAAATTGCAGAAGAGGACGATGCAGAAAAGAAAGTAGTAGAAAAGAAAGTTTCCAAAAAGACAGGTAAATTGTGATAAATTTTCAAATTATAAAGAAAAATCCGAATTCAATAGCTCAATATTAAAAAGGTTGAAATATTGTTATAACTTGCCACTGAAAACATCGAAAATATTCACAAATCGGGAAGGTATTGGTTTTATTAAATTAAAAAAAAAAATTTGAAAACAATTGACTCTTAAGTACTGGTCCCATCTTTTTCTAGCGTCGCACTCACGGCGAGAAACGGTACTATCCTTGGTGCACTCATTTAGAAGAGAAATGAAAAGCTGCACTCATAGGAACGGTTCTTAAAGCTATCATTGCGGGAGCGTGCTCATCGACTTACTGGTGTTCAAGAGAGCAAAACTCTATGACGCTAAAAACAGTGACGAAAACATGAATGAAGCAAGAACGAAGGTAAAGGCAGAAACGCAGCAAGAGTGGCAGAACCGATGGACATCGGGAGAGATGGGCAGATGGACGGCGCGCCTGATCTGAAAGATCAACTTCTAGCTTTCTCGGAAGCACGGGGACACGGACTTCTTCTTCACCCAGCTATTGACGGGACACGGACAGCTTAACGCCTATTTCTTCAAGATGGGGCTGCACCACACGCTGTCGTACGAATACTGGCCGGACTAAATCGACGACGCCAAACATACTTTTTTCGTGTGTATAAAGTTAAAGGACTACAGAAGCAGCACCGAAGAAACTATTGCCACCACCCTCTCTCCAGAGAGCTTGGTAAACTGCATGCTCAAAAAATAATATAACTGGTCAGCAATCGCAGCCTACGCGCAGTACCTTTTAACAGAAAAAATCGCAGGAAGGGACCACTAACTAAAAGTAAGCGTCATGAGAAGCATCACAGACTGGATTGAAGTAATGCTAACGCGGTTCCGATCCAGTCATCTCCGTACCATCTACGGGGAAGGAGAGAGGTTTTTTTAGTGGGTAAAAATTCCACACTATTGACCATCATCCTTCAATAATGGCGGTGTTTATGGGAGATTTTTTTCGCTTCTCTATTATAAAGAAAAAAATTAGGAAAACGGTTGACCCTGAAGGCCATCCCTGCAAGTTCCCACCAATTCTATACCTAAACACTTGAAAACACTAATGACGTTTTTAACCTCTTCGAGCTCATAAATACAATTTGTGTATTATTTTAAGCTCTCCGAGCTGAAAAAAAACAACTTTTGTAAGCTTTTGAGCTCTTCGAGCTAAAAAGTTTGATAGAAGTTTGATAAAACACTATTTTTTGAATTTTCAAATCGCAATGACTTTTGAATGAATGTACCGATTTTCACGCGGTTGGTTGCATTCGACGCAGTTTTTTAAGCTTCATAAAGGATCTTCAAGTTTCAATTGATAGAACGAAAAATTTCGGAGTAATTCCGAAAAAACGCTTTTTTTGGTTTTCTTTCGTCAACGATAACTCACGAACGAATCAACCGATTTTGACCGGACTGGCGGCGATCGACGTAGTTTTTTTATGTTAAGAGCCGATAAGTTTTAATAATTGATTGGTAGAGCCGTTTAAAAGTTATTCCAAAAAAACGACATTTGAAAAAAATTTTTTTTTATTTTTTTTGCAATTTCTCAAAATCTACCGGTCCGAATTGTTCGGGAGTAAATTTAAAATTTAAGTTCAGTCAAACCCTTTCGAATAGCATCAACTGCGATCAAATCGGTCAAGCCGTTCAAAAGTTATGAGAGATTTACATACATCCACTCATCCACCGATACATAAAGATGTACAAACACCATCGCGGGAATAGTCAGGGAAGCTTTCTAGGACCTCGAACGTCAAGATTCGATGAAAACTCGATTTTCGTAAGACGGGGTGAAAACAATAACTTCTCGATTTTTAAAAGTCTTCGATTTTCTTAGCGAAAAGTTAAAAAAAAAACAAAAAACCCACACAGACGTAATCATACCCTTGAGAGAGTAGTTAGGGAAGCTTCCTAGGACCTCCAAACGTCGAGATCTGATGAGAATTTGATGTTTGCAAAACGGGATAAAACCAAAAACTTCCCGATTTTCGAAAATTTTCATTTTTCTAGGCAGGAAGTTGAGAGATATTCTAGTTATAATACTTTACCTAGAATAATAAATGATTAAATTCTTCAATTCATTTCAGGAACAAAGAAGAAAATTCCAATGAAGGAAGATTTACCAAAATTAAAGTTAGTTTCAGTAAAAAGTAAAAATAGTAATGAAACAAAGTGGTCACTCACGAAATAATTAACAGTAATTCGATAGGAAAAAATAATAAAAATATATGTATAACATGAATAATAATAAAAATATATGTATAACATGAATAATAATAAAAGTTTATTTATGATTGTAACATAAAGGGTGCATATAGTATTTACTTGCTTCTTATGATACTACGTTTGATAAAAAAAAAAAGTTTAAAAGTTAATTAATTAAGACATTAAGAAAAAATACCTTGTATATAAAAAACTCTTAAGGGGCGTTGTTGAGGTCATGCCAAGTCGTCGGCAAGCAGTTACTAAAAGGATTGGAGGTACACAATGAAGAGTTTTCTGAGTGAACCTACGAGAAAAAACCCCTGGACACTTTAAATAAAGAGAAGGTATTTGCGGTAAAGTAATTTACGGGTAATTTCTAACTTTAAAAGCACCTTTAAGTGACTCCCTTGGCTGAAAACACTTGGGGGGTATTTTTCTTGGTCAGGTCGTCGACGAGCAGTTGGCCGGTGGGTCGGAGGTTAATATTCAGATGTATCCAGGGGAAACCTACGGAGAAAAAGACCTGGACACATTAAATTAAGGAAAAGTATACGCGGTAGAGTAATTTATAACTTTAAAAACATTTCTAAGTGATTTCCTTGGCTGAAAACACTTGGGGTTATTTTTCAAGGTCAGGTCATTGACGAACAGTTGATCGGAAGGTCGGAGGTCAATATTCAGGTGTTATCAGGAGAATTCTACGGAGGAAAACACTTGGACACATTAAATTAAAGAAAGGTATACGCGGTAGAGTAATTTAGGGGTAATTTATAACTTAAAAACATTTTCAAGTGTCTTCCTTGGTTGAACACACTTGGGGGTATTTTTCTTGGTCAGGTCGTCGACGAGCAGTTGGCCGGTGGGTTGGAGGTTAATATTCAGGTGTATCCAAGGGTAACCTACGGAGGAAAACACCTGGACACTTTAATTTAAGGAAAGGTATACGTGGTAGAGTATTTTATAACTTTAAAAAAATTTTCAAGTGACTCCCTTGGTTGAACACACTTGGGGGTCTTTTTCAAGGTCAGGTCGTCGACGAGCAGTTGATTGGAGGGTCGGAGGTTAATATTAAGTTGTATCCAGGGAAAACCTACGGAGGAAAATACTTGAAACACCGATGGTATTGGTTCTGATCAAATGGGATATTTTTCACTCCCATTAGCTGTTAGACCCGAGCATTCAAGTATACAAATATTTTTATCATGATCTCTTTTTTTTTAATGAATTTTGTTTGACCCTGGCGCCATCTACAATAGATTTTCTCCTCGATCATGCAAATTTCAAAAATATGATTTTTTTGCACCCCACAGATGTCACTGCGGTATTTTTCTTAGGCACCGCCATTTTGTGCGGGTATTTTGCAACACGGGTATTTTGCAACGCGGGTATAATGCTACGCGGGTATAATGCTTCGCGGGTATAATGACATACACCCAGTGAATCACCTATATGTTTGGCAGACTTGGTGCGGAAGGTAGTCAAAAAAGAAATAATGGATAAGTGGGAGAGGGATGAGGGATATATAATAAAAATGAATGATCTAATTGTAATTTAATTACTGATGAGTTACAAGGTTATTTGAGGGAAAATGTGAGTTTGGTGGAAGCGATGATGAAGTATGTAACAACTAATGTACAAAATTTTTTATACGAAATATTAAAAAAAAATAGTTTATGAAGTTATATTTATTGGACTCTTATTGTATTTTTGTATTAATTTAATTATTTTATAATTGAATTAATCTTATATTTGTAATATCATATTCTATTTTAAATTTCCAGCTAAGGTTAAGTACCCAGTACTTGAACACTTACACTGATAGAAAATTTATGTTGATTCAAGAGATATGTTCTTGATCTAAGAATTTATTTTGGAAGAAAAATGATTATTTTGCTTTAAAAAATTCTTGTCTTGGTTTAGAATTTCTTGGCTTGAGAAATGTATGTCTCTGTTGGAGAAGTTTTGTATCTTTACTCAAAACTATATTATCTGCAATCGATACATTTAAGTTTTTCAACCAAAATAACATTATCGTTTAAAAAATTAAAAATTTTTGGTTCAAGTAATAATTTCTTCCATCACGATGTTATTGAAGTCAATAAAAAATTTTTTCAATAGACTTTCGATCTAACATGTCTTTTTTATGAATAAATTGATTATTAAATATAAAAATAACTTGATTAACTAAAAAAAATTGTGCTTAATCGTCATAAAATATTATTTTAGCTTTTAGAGTATAAAAAATACATGTTAAAGGGTAGATAAAGAAATGTTACAATTTTTAATTATTAGAAAAATTTTTTTATTTCTAAAAAACATAATAAATAAAATAAATAATTAAAATTAAACATTCGTAATAGTTGTTAAATTTTTTAAATACAACATAATTAAAAACTGTTATTTTTCTTTTCAAATACATTTTTTTCAAATATGGCTTTATCCTATAGTCTGTCAAACGTTTGATCAATATCAATAATCGTCGAGGGCAAAACATCATACTGAGTTTTAATCTTGAAGAGGCACCTTTGTATTAATAAATAAATGTGGTTTGAATCCTTTGGATATTGTGCTCCAAAAACGTGGTAACATTTAAATAAACAATCGCATGCTGTAATTGCTGACGTAAATTGATACTTGATTTCGTCTACAACCAACAGCACCTGGTTATGCTCTGTCATGTTCCCTTGAATAAGTACATATGGTTGTACGGTATCATGCTTATTATAAGCACGGGTTCTCTGTTTCTCTATTTCAGTTTCAATGTCACCAGGATTCTGATAATGATAATAATGATGAAATGTTATATCGACGTTCTAATTAGTAAATTGTCTAACTCCATTTTAGAGAATCTTCTATTTGTACGAAAAAAACAATTAGTTCAAAATTTATTATCACTTAAAAAAACCATTTAATGTCATTATTATTTAACAGAGATATAATATTTAGGTTTGAATCATTCAAATAATTTATAATTCGATTATGGCTACATCAAAATGTAAAAAAATCACCCTCTAAAAAATAAGGAGTTAGACAAATTGCTAATTAGACCATTGATATTATTAATATGTATTTTATCTTTTCAACTAGCGGAAGTAGACTGTAAAGCCAATGAAATTTTAATTAACTCACTTCTACAAAAAGAACTATCGTATTAGATGCTTCTTTCTTACTGTGTTTTATTTTTTTCGAATTTCTTCCCTTTGGTGGAACAAGATACGGCAACATCAAAAGCTCAATAACAAACTTCACTGAAAACATAATGTGAACAAAATATTAAAATAGCATCAATGCATTCACAGTATCAATAAATTATTTTACTGTCACAGTACAAAATTATTGAAAAAAAAAAAAATAAATAAATAAAATAGTTTATTACAATTAATGGTTTCTTCTCCATTTCCTAAAGTAGTAATAATTTCCTTATATTCTTGAATTGTTTCATCTCCGGCATATTTTAAACTCCTTAAAGTTTTGATTCTATCAATGAATGTTGACCAACCAGACCGCAAAAGATTTGCTTTATTAGGGTACATGCTTAAAAAGTGCAAAGAAATCTGTAAGAAAAAAAGATTGATGAAGTTTACGATATCTTTTTCTTTACTTTTTTACTTGAACATTTCACAAAAAAACATTGATTTATTAGAATGTAATTGTTAGCTTACCAAATCTTTTCCTCTCAAGTCATTGAGAATCGGCCATTCATTAAGAAACTCAGTGACTGTCTTATGAGTAAGGTAAAAGTCCATATTATGAGACACTTTTTCAGGTTAGTCGTACATTACTGCTATTATATAATTTGTTTTAAGCAAATATACAATATAAATTGTGTCATACGATTATTTGATGATTAATTGATAAATATTACTAGTTTTCAATAAATGTTTATACATAAAAATAATATTAATAACTTTTTATGAGAGGAACCTCTCGGACCCTATTTATGAGACACTTGAAAAGTATATGGCCCCAGTGTCTCATAATATAAGTCCCTATTTTTAAGACAGTTCAGAAATCAACAAAACTTATTTTAAATTTACTATTTATTAATTTTAGATCACATAACTTATAAAATAGGTAATAAAATTCAGCCTGTAGTAATAAATTATTAGACTTTTATAAATTAAATGAGTAAGAAATGTAAATTATCAGAATATTTAATTCATTTTTGTTCTTTAATTTTCTTTTGCAGTTCTTTTACTTTGTCCATCAGTTTTTTCTTTTCTTCTTGCAACTTCTTTTTATTTTTTAGTTTTTCCTCTTTTATTTTTTTAAGGTTTTCTTTTTCCAATTGATGTTGGTACCATTCATTGGAAGTCCCCACGGAAGGTAATTTTGACTTTCCACTTTTTTCTAATTTAAGTCTTTTTTTTTGGTAAATATTCTGATGGTAGCGTAAAAATTTCTTTCAGAGGTCTTTTGGGTGAAGTATCATTTGTTGATGGAAGTTTATTGTTGTTGTGTTCACTGAGTTCTGAAAAAAAATTACGTTATTGTTAAAATATGAGAATCATAAAAATACTAATCTGATATTCGTATACCTGTCTCATGATTTGCAGTGATAGTAGAATCGACAAGTGTATTTTGTGTTCCAACTGACCCGTGTTGTAAAGGTACATTAAAATCTCTCTGGAATGAAATTGCTTGATCAACAGAAGTATGTTGCTTTAAATCTTTAAGAATAGGTTGCAAGTCATTACTACAATCAATTAATAGTTTTTCATGAGACATTGGATCATCTTCACATAGTAATTCTAAAATTTGTTCATCATAATCGAAAGAAGTATGTTGTTTACAATCAACTGCATTAAAATCATTATCCTGGATAATAATCACAGGTTGTAATACTTGTTGTGTATTTATTGACTCAATTGTATTAACATTCGACGACAATTCTTGATCATTTGTATAGAGATCATTTGTAGATGAATTAGAATTTACATATATATCGATGGGCGAGTAAGGTTGATCAGTGATTAAAATTTTTTCACCATCTCTTTCTGAATGATTATCAGCATTTTCAGAGTTCTCCAGTACTGGCGGTTGTTTCAAAGTATTGCCTATTTATAAAAATGTGTAAATGTAAATGTTTAAAAATATATATTAAATTATTCAAACGAGTTAACTGAAAAATAAATTTTGTATTAATTTATATAACAATAATTCGATTAAAAAAAGTTGAATTAACTTGAAATTTGCTTTTGTATGCAATAAATTGTAAATTTTAATCTTAATCTAAAATTATGTATAGAAAATTTCTAACAAAAAATTGTAAATATAAAAATTTTAAATAAAAAATTGTAAATGTAAACTTTAAAAAAAAAATTGAAAATATTAATTGTAAAAAGATAGAAAAAAGTATAAGTGTCTGATTTTTTCTCATTTATCAATACTATTCAGTTGTTTACTTGAAACATTCGTCGTGTTTTTCGAAATTTCGAGCCAGTACTCAAATAATCCTTTCTTTTCAACGGCTCCAATCCATAATCCGCTGGCTGCTGCATTTTGGAATTCTGAAAGTGTATCTGGTTGTAAATTTTTTTCAAATTTTAATAAGAATTGTTTATCTTCACTAATATCTGAATCCAAATTATTCTCCTTTTGATTGATAGCTTCTTTTGATTTTTTTCCCTTTTGTAAAATATCGTAGTCTACTACCTTGGGATCAAACGGGTACAATCCTGACCCTTTGAAACCACTAACTACGACATTTTTTTCGTTCTTCATGTTATCTAAAGTGAACTTTAGAACAAGAGGAAAATTTTCTTTCTTAATTTGTGCAACGCCTTCTTGGTTTTTCCACTTAGGCACATATTTTTTCCATGAGTCTTTAAAAGGACGGAAAAATGAAATATCCAAAGGTTGCATTATGTGGGTAGAATTGGGAGGTAACATGACCAGTTCTATCTGCTTCTCTCTACAAAAGGACACCAACGGCAAATTAAGGTGCGAAGAGTGATTATCCATATATAAAACAACAGGAAACTCTGTCTGCTGTTCTACAAGCCATGGGTAGAATACATTCGTGATATATTCATAAAAAGTTTCTGTGGTCATCCAACCGTTGTCCGATAGTCCAATACCCCATCCTGTGGGAGTATTATCCACTATCTTTTTAGGCACAGTTTTTTTAAAAGAGTACATTAACATCGGAGGACCGCGAACTCCATCAGCCCTATACATGAAAAGAACCGTCAGCGCTTCTTTGCCACCATCAACAATTTTGTAAACTGCACGTGATCCTTTTTCTGCCAACACGCTCTCTGCATCAGGACACAGAAGTAAGCTGCTTTCATCGCAGTTAAAAATTCTTGTTGGAGAAATATTAGATAAATTTTTACTTTCTAAATACGCTCCAGTATTTTTAAACCACTCTTGCAGTTCTTCACAGCTGACAGCTGCTCTACTAACACTCAAATGTTGGGGTTTCCTTATAGATAATTCTGGATGACGTTTTCTAAACCCTTCATACCAATGGCGACTTGGACGATTATCTGTGAATGGAGTTTTTTTGGCTAATTTTTGGACATATTTTTGAACACAATCCAATAACTCAGTTTTTGTTACAGGTGCTCCCATTGCAGCCCTGTCCAGCGCCCATTTGACAATATGATCTTCTTCTTGAGATGATAATACTGTTTCTGGTCCTGATTTTTTTTTTATCTCGTCTGGCCCAATACTTTTTTTCCTGCCTAAAGTAGCCAAAGGCACTCCGAAAGTAACGGCTGCTTTCCATAGTGACAACCCAGTATTTTTCATGGCTTTTAAAGCATTTTCTACATCAATTGGGGTATATTTAAGCTTCCGAACCTTTTTTTTTGTAATTTTATCAGTCACTTTTGAACGCAACACTTTTTTTTTGCTGGTTGAGACTGTTGTTGTTTCCCCATTTTTACAATTTCCGATTAAAATTTTTTTTATTGTTCGCTGTTGACACGTAACCTAAAATTTTTCAAAAATTAATAAAAGTATAACAAAACTTATTTTTAATATTTCAATAAATAAAAATAAAAAAAAAAGAACTTGCAAAATTAATGTTTTGATTTTAGGTTAGGTTTCCAACTTAACGTTATTAAATTTAAAATACTTACTCAGAAATAATTATTTAAAGTCATGTTAATAAACAATGTCTTATATTTTATAATTTCACTCTTTTAATATTAAAATTTTTGTTATTTTATTTGAAAACTACTTTAAAACTCATAACAGCACACTGTCTCATTAAATGGGGACAACCATAAGACGTCATGCCCGTATTGAGTGATACGCGGTGTAAAGTGTTCCATATACCGGTACGTCCGCGTTCATAAATGTCGGTATTGTGAGACACTCGAAAATAAAATAATATTGTCATAAATTAGCATAAATGCAAATAAAAAACAAATCTATAACTCATAAGCTTTTAAATAACATATAAATTTTGTGTATAGATATAATAAGATATTTAATTTCATTCGAGTAAGAAACTGTACAGTGATTATCGTTCAACTCTTTTGAGCCATGGTTTTAAAGTGCAAATAGCAAACCTCATACTTTTATAATTTTTCTTTTAAACATATTAAAAATTATTAACAATAAGACTCGTTAATTGCTTTCAAAAACAATTAAGCAATGTGTTTATTATATTTTTTCAAAGTATAATTTGGTATTCTTTTTATAAATTAGTATATTCACATTATGTATCATAAATGGGGACAGTGTCTCATAATATGTACTTTTACCTTACAACAGCTTCTGATTTCATATGTTTTCTTCCATATTGCCACAACACTGTCCCATGGTCCATCATTTTCTTTCAACCATTCGATATCATCAACGTGGTCACCTAAAAAAATTATTTTATATTATTTTTCTAATTACGATCTATTAATTATTACATCGATTACAAACCTAATAATTCGTCGTATCACTTTCGTTTTTCTTCAATAGTTAAATCGAATACATTGCTCTTTCGTTTTCTGTTACCCTTAGTAATCCCAGAATTGTGCCTTGTATTTCTAATTTTATCAGGCAATTTGCCTCTCATAGGAATAGGCTTATTACTAGGTGAAAGCCGTTTAGGCACTGGCTTGATAAAGTAAACACTTAAACATTCATTTGGGAATGTTTTTTTTATTTTCTTTAACAAACAATGATAATGACAACTTTTTATCATGCTGTAAAAAAATTTTAAATATATTTTTAACTAAAATAAATTTGTAGGAATCAACACTGCTTAATTATAAAAGAAATATTTTAATTCACCGAGAAGATACTTGTTATGTGTAAATTTATATAATATAGACAACCAAAATTGATAATAATTGCTTACTTTTTCTCCAGCCAAGGAAACAAAAAGCGACTAATGATGTCCACTACTGACTGTTGATTAGTCGGATTTAATTTCCCATTCTGGGAATAATCTGCAAATATAAGAGGTCCTTCAGGAGATGCTGTTATCTGCTTGGTTGAATCTAAAGATGGAAAATAATCAACTTCATCGATAACTTCTGCTTCTACGGCTACATCTGGATGATCATCAGAGCAAATAAAATTAATTAATTTTTTGATTCGATAAGCAAAAATATGTGTATATAACTAAGATTGATTTATTAGATTATTTATTTAATAACTTTGTTAATTAGGTCATATTTATTTCTCAAGAATTTGTACATTATAAGAATTACTTGTTAAAATAATAATGTTTACTGAAATTATTGCTGAATACTTACCGTTAAAACTTCATGATTTAATAGATTTCAGAAACTGAAGGCATGTGAAGAATAAAAGAGTAAGAATGAATCGGAGGAGCCAAGATAAGTCATTTTTTGACCATCGAAAAAAAATGACATTATTCTCCTTGAAATGAATAAGGATGATAGCTACCCGTTTTTTCTAAAAAAAGAACGGATACTTTGATTCTTCTTCTCGAGTGATCCATGGGAACAAAAATAAGTAGTAATAACCCTTATGAACCGAGACAAGTAACTCTTTGACTTGTCGGAAGGGGAAACATTTTCCTTCCATTAATTGATAGGGATTTTGGGTACCCGTTTTTTATAAGAATAAAAATGGATACTTTGATTCTTCTTCTCGAGTGATCCATGGAAACAAAAATAAGTAGTAATAACCCTTATGGGCTGAGACAAGTAACACTCTGACCTTTCGGGCAGTAAAGATTTTTTGTCGTGAAATCGATGAGTATTTTGGCTTCCCGTCTTCTAACAATAAAAACGGGTACTTAATTTCTTGTACCTTAGTGATCTCTAGGGAAAAAAAATTAGTCTCGATTATTATTAACCAAGACAAACTGCTTTCTGATCTTTCGAGGAAGAAGAAATTTTTTATCGTGTTATTGATAAGTATTTTGGCTTCCCGTTTTCTCAAAATAAAAACGGGTACTTAATTTCTTGTACCCTAGTGATCCGTAGGAAAAAAAAATTAGTCTCGACTATTATTAACCAAGAGAAATCGCTTTCTAATATTTTGAAAAAGAAGAAATTTTTTATTGTGTTATTGATAAGTATTTTGGCTTCCCGTTTTCTGCAATTAAAAACGGGTACTTAATTTATTCTACATTCCCGGGAAAAAATAACAGCTAGCGTCAGACTCACAAACAATAAACTTCGTGCGAGCTTACAAGATGTCGCGCGGTTCTATGCTAACACAAACACACTACCGGCGTGTTACGAATATTGGATAGAAATAAATTGTAATCGGTTTTTTTTTTCCTGTGCGACCATCTTATTCAACGTTATTACTAAAGTGAATTGTTTTAACCTCTATCGTGTCGGAAACGGAGGAAAAACGTGGCGGGTTTTCCCGCCACGATAGAAAACGTCCAGGTTCAAGAATCTCCTCGGGAGTTCAAGAAGAACTCTTCTCGGAATACATTGAATTATGCAGAGCTGGCACAACTAGTTTGAAGTTTGCCGAGTTTGTTAAAATGAAGAACCACCCGGAAGGTAAAACAACGGATACGACGATGGATGTTGATAAGGTTAAGCGGAGTAAGCTGGAAGACACAAATGACAAGCTGGGTAAACAAACCAGTTCTTTGAAATATAGTACCCTCGACAAGGGACCTTTTAGTGTCCTTATTAGATTCGTAGACGACGAAAGAAAGAAAAAAATGTGCCTTTTGGACATTGCTCGTAAGCTCTCCAATTTATTGATACGGTATGACAACATAACCCCAACATCCAAGAACACATGGAAACTCATTTTCAACGAAAGAGAAAAAGCCAACGCCTATCTGTTAAACTGTCACTTGAAAGACCATCAACTGGAAACTTTCGTCCCCGGCTCCATAAGACGGAAGAAGGGAGTCATTCGCCAAATTCCACTGGTTTTGAATAACGAGGAGATATTAAGAGTTTTGCAAGAAGAAAACCCGGACTGTCAAGTGAGCTCAGTGTACCGTCTCAAGAAGAAAGCTAAAGAAAAAGACCGGAAGTGGTGCGAGTCGCAAGCCGTTTGTGTTACGTTTGATTCGAGAGTACTACCACATAGTGTTAAAATGTGGAGTACACATATTCAAGTAACTAGCTACATACCTCATATCTGTATCTGCTACAATTGTGGGTTATTTGGACATATAGGTAGTAAATGTGTGATAGAAAGAAGGTATGTTTACAATGTGGTCAGACCCACGTAACGGAGGAAGGAGCAATCTGCTCTAACCCGAAGAAGTGCGTGAATTGTGGAGAAGATCATAGCACTCTAGACCCAAGTTGCCCACGTCGAGCTGAAGAGATGGAGCTCAAGTCAATTATGGTCCGAGATAACGTGTCGTTCCTGGAAGCTAAGCACTCATTGAAGTTCAATCACAGTCACAGGCATAGTGGGGAGAGCAACCACAATCACGATCACACTAGTGCTCAACACTCCAGTACATTTGTAAGGTCAATAAAAGATTTCCCGAAGCTACCAGAGAATGATCAAGTTAGCCTAACTAATTCAAATTCGCCCAGTAATTCACCCTGGAATCGATCTGGTTTGAGAGACCAGAGCTCAGTCAAAGAAGGAGAAGTCTCATTCTCACCTCAAGAACGTGGGCTAGCAGACATCATAGGTTCAGCGATACAGACGATTCTCCAAGCAATCTCCAAGGCCCCAGATGTTGACCTACTAATTAAACGGATTCTAAACACAATACAACTTCATTGTCAGCATGGATCCAAAAAAGCGTAGAATAAATAAGCATAAGTATAGTAGTAAAACTATTAATAATAGCTTAAATAAGTATTCTGTCAGAACATGGCTTAAGCCTAAAGATAAACTATTTATAAAGGTATTTGATACAGTAAGGGACGGCCGAACCCACAACAATGGAGGAGGGGTAGCTATTCTAAACCTTACAGAAGTTTATTAACGATATAGACAATTTTATTTAATCAGAAATTTTATAAGCATAGACTGCTTGTTTAAAAAATTAAATATGTTAAAATGTTAATTGTTGCGTAATTGTAATATTAAGGATAATGTATTTTAAATTATTGTTTTTGCTTTCATAGTCAAAGTGAATAATGTTTAAGTTAAAGACCGCCTGTGATATAAAATAAGATGTAACTGCCGTTTCTTATGCCGACGAATGGTAACTGTAATTGGAATGTTTATATCTATGTATCAGTTGGCTGCATTGGTTTTTACCAGGGCCTTTATTTTTATTTTTATTTCAATAAAAAAAAAAAAAAAAAAAAAAAAAAAAAAAAAAAACACTACCGCACACTACCACACACTTTTGAACGTCGACTGATGGTTCGTATTTTATCGGAAGAGTGCGCTGCGGAAGATTCTGAAGATTCACAAAAATATTTGTTTACTTTTTTCATTATTTTTTGTTGTGTACTTGTGTAGAAATACATGATAATTATAAAGGGAAACTAGTGAAATTAATGTAGAAAATTAAACATAACAATGGATATCTCGTGCTCAATGTGTTTCTATCAATGTAATTCACCAAACGTTTTGATGCAACACATTATACGTCACCATCAGCATGATCCAAAGTTTAAAGTTCAATGTAAACAAACGGGATGTGGACGAAGTTTTACAAAATGGAAATCTTTTCGCCAACATCTATTTAGGAAACACCCAACAGTGCAAACTCCTTGCAATAACGAAGTTGAAGTACATGAAAATATTAATTTATTTAATGGACAAGATATACTCTTGAATAATATCATCCATGCTCCTATAGATAATCAGAGTAAGAAATAAAAGTAAACTATTATTTATATAATTATTTATGATACTGAAGTTAGCTGACAGCTGTCAATTTTTTTGAATTATTATAGCAAATGAATTACAATTAAAAAATTTCCACTTATAATTTTTTTTAATTTTTACATGCGAAATTTTTTTATTGAATTTTTTTCATAATGATTTCACTCTTATATAATTCTACAAAAATTTCTAATATCTGTCAACTTTAGAGTCATTTATAATATTGTAACGGAGTGATCGTTACTCGGTAAATTCCCCATTTCGGTACCTAGTTAGTTATCGACTGCTCACAGTGCGCTGTGATCTAAAGCTCGTTTAGAGCTAGTGAGAAAGGCCCCGAGGTGGAGAAGCTAGCGTAGTGATAGTGGGGAGAGTAGAGAAAGCAAGAAAGGTTGAGCGAATTTGGTAAGACTCATTGTGACTGAGTGGCTCGACTGGACGACACGCAGATTTTCTAAAACATCCAGCTAAGGTAAATATTTTTATTCTGCTTGTCCAACGTGGAACGAAGCGATAATATTTTGTTAATTTATTGCTTGCTAGGCCGCCTGCCAGTTTTTAAATTAATCTTAATTGGTAATATTTTCTTGCTTGCTAGGCCGCCTGCGTAAATTAATCTTAATTGGTAATATTTTCTAATGCTGATTTGCGGTTACAGGCGTAATAAATAACCAGAGGGCGAGTGACGGTGACGAGAGATTGCCGCCAAATCGAGAATACCTGACCGAGGATAATTCACACCAGTACCCGAAGACGAGGAATTGCAGCTCACTGTTGGAGTGCAGATAAAATTATAAGAATATTCCAGGTACAAATAACGAGTCTCAATTATTCCTCGGGTCTGCGGCATCAGCCAGGCAACACGTCGGCTGAAGGTCACCGCCATTTCGTGCTCAGTCACAATCGTTTAATAATTTAGTTAGCTTTATTTAAGTATCGTTCATAAATAGTTTATTTATTTAGAATCAGATTTAACATCAGATTTAATATTAATATTGGACGAATTATAAAACAATTAATTAATAATACTAGGACAGTTTCGAGTTATTAATTAATTTGTTTAGGAAAAGTAACTTGTCTCTGTTATTACTTATTTTACACGTAGGCCTGTCTGGGTTGATAATACTAGGCAATATCTATTATCAAGTCGGATTATTAATTCCAGATTTTCGCCATGTGTGAAATTTATTTAATTGAGAATTTATAGACAATAAATTGGTTTAAGCCAATAAAAAATAGAATTGAGTAAACTGTAAAAGTACGATTGTTTAAGTTAAAATTTATTCCGATCGAAAGTTATTTTGTATAAATTATTTGGCGCATTAATTAATATTTGTTTTAATTTAAATTAAACGTAGAGTCAGGAAATAGCTATTAAATCAATAGAATTGTCAATCTAAATTAATTAGTTAAGAAAATAGAGAATATAAAATTTGTAAAAATTTCATCAGAAAAAAAAATTACTTGAGTCCTGCGACAAAGACGCTAGACCGAGCGAGAGCGTCAGCCATCTTGTTCGTGCGAGAGAATGCTGAGTAGAGGACACACAAGGTCACAGCTAAGTCTCTTAGTCATTGAAATAGGATAAACTCGAGTAAAATAAAATGTTAAGTTTTAAGAAACACCAAATAAATACAATAGGATAATCTCTTGTCGAAATTTAACTTTTGCGTCGAAAAATAAATTTAATAAAATGTACTGCCGATTACTGGATAAAACAAAATGCTTCGGATAAAATAAAATGCTTTGGAATAAATTAAACTTGGATCGGATTAAATAATGTGAAAGATTTCAGTTTACTGAGTGATCGTAATTAAATTAAATTTGCTATAATGAGATTAAAATTGAATTAATAAATGACTCGGACACAAAATGGATTCAATCCTCGAAATTTAAAAGAGTCATTTAGAAAGTAGGAAATTGTTAATTGTAATTTTGAAATTCGGGAAATGATAACCGGAATTTTAGAAATAGTAATTAGATAAATAATATTATGGAAATTATTTGTAAATTTGGATTCAAGCGCTATTATATTATTATTGTTATTGGGGATATAGAATAGAGTGTGTTTGTGTGAGAGTAAAGAGACTATCCAGCCTCGGGTAGTTTTCTTAGAGTAGCGTGAAGTTTGGGGGACAGCGTGCGCTGTGTGGACAACGTGTGCAGTCACCTCAGAGGTCCAGCTCAATGGCGTGAGAGTCCGTGAGACCGCGCGAACTACGATAGAGTAGCGTTAGAGGTCCAGGGGACGGCGCGAAGTAAATAGAGTACCGTGAGAGTCCAGTAGGCATCGGGGACAGCAATCACGTGAGGGTCTAGCTGGACAGCGAGAAATATACCGAATGAGTGTGAGTGTGAGTGTGGATTTGTATCCATGAAATTTTATTTATTGTAATACTGGTCATATTTTAATTGTAAGAGGGATTGGATAAATAAATAATTTTTGTTAAATGAATTTCTGTGTTTTAATCCTAGCTCCTTTCAGCAATTCTCTCACGACCCTGACCTAGCACTCCATGTTCTGGTCCAGTTTCTGGAAACTGAGAACAAAAATCCAGTGGCGCCCTTAAGAGTAAAAGGGGCGACCAAGGAAAACATAACATCCCGTTTCATTTGTCATTTAACATTTGCTTAATCAATTTTTTTATACTACAATATAGATGATTTTGGAGAAAAAAAAATATGTATGTGTATCAGAGTACACAGGTAAGAAGTAAAACTTCTTTATGACACATCATTTTTCTACTATTTATAACTTCATAGAAATTGGGTAGATAAAGCTTAAGAAAAAAAAATTTTTCCATATTAAATTAAAGATATTTCAATATTATAATAACCATGCATACAGATAATAAGAGTAATTCATTTTATCATTGCACTTATGATAATTATTGTATTTCATCGCATTATAATTAACATTGTTGTCATTATTTAGACTATGCCATTATTTAATCTAAAAATTATTTAATCAGTTTATAAAAATTATATAAAAAACATTAATATTCAAATCTTATGTCATAACATAGTAAAAATAATTAAAAGCAGATATTTAATAACTTACACACTGTTTGATTTTTAAATTATTATTTAATTTGTTGTTTTAATTGTTTTTAGAATTAATAATAATTACTAAATTAATTCTTTACGTCGCTATACGAAGCTTCGATAGAAACAAACAACATGGCGCGTAACCGAAAATCGTGACGATTTTTTATATATTGCTATAAAATTTCTCTCATACGTCGATAAAGAAGTTTTACTTCAATAATAAAGAAACAATTATTAGTATAATAATTAACTAGTAAACGAATACACAACCAATAGGGCGTATATTCTTTCTCGATATCCCGTATTCTCTCTCTCTCTCTTGTTCAATCTTTCTCACTATAGCTCTCTCCCACCTCACACACCATAGCACTATGCGTGA